GCCCCCGGCGAGTCCCCGCCCCGCCCTCCCTCTCTCCCGCCGTGGGAGTCGGGCCGGCCCCGTTAAGATTTGGGTTCAGCTTCAGGGGCTTCAGAGGGACAGTCCTGGCTTTGATTCCGGACTCCGCCATTTAGTGGCGGCGGGACCCCGGGCGAGTTACTCATCCGCTCTGAGCCTCGGTTGTCTCACCTGCAAAGTGGGGACGATGATGATGTTAGCTAACAACCTTACGGGGCTGGTAACAGAGAGGCAGAGAGCCGAAAACCATCGGTACAGTGCCCACCTCCAGCATCTGCTGCTATGTGGGTGATGGTGACGGTGGTGGCGGCGGCTGGCCACCACAGGCCGTGAGCGGACACTGGAGCAGGCCTGCTTATCCAGTTCCCTTTTCAGGCCTCAGAGCCCTATTCTTTTCTGCCTGTCCTGGAAGACAGAAGTGTATCTCAGGACTCCATCGTTTCACTGAGATAACGAGTTTCCTGAACGTCAGAGCCACTGCGTGCAACCTGGAAGGACTAAAATATACTCCAAAGCCAGACAGAAAATTATTTTGGGGCTGTACATTGTTTAGGACTGTCCACTGCTTTGAGTCACCCGGGAGCCATGTCAATCACTTGCTCCAGGGCCTGTCTGGGGTCTGGCTTGACTCATTACTGCAGGTGCCCGGCCAGTGGAACAGTGACTCTCATGTGCACCTCCTGGGGACCCTGTTCCCTGGAGCAGGGGAGTGGACGCTGAGCTGGAGGAAGGGTGCCCAGACTCCGTCTGCTTGCTGCAGCCCTCCCTGCCCTGGGTCCTGAGAAGGGGCAGGCTGGGATGTGGGGACCCTGAGTGGGGGCTGGGCACCCTAAGTGACTCCCTTCTCTCCCCACAGCTGCTGATGGAGACAGTGGGCTCTGACATCCGCAGCTGTCCTCTCTGCCAGCTGGGTTTCCCTGTCGGATACCCGGATGATGCCCTCATCAAACACATTGACTCCCACCTGGAGAACAGCAAGATCTAGGGCGCCTCCCCCACCCACTGGCTGGTTTTCTGCCCCTCCCATCACCCCAAAACAATCACTCTGAATGCTGCATGAATCTCGTGGGGGGCCCCTGCCCCTGGCGACCCCCAGATACCTCCACTAGCTACCGAGTCAACGTGCGTGCCGTCTTCCCTGGTCCGGGCACCACTCAGCTCTGGCTCTTCCTGGGCGGTCAGCCGAGGCTCCCCCACCTTCCTGGCTTCTGCTGGGGAGGTGGAGATCTGGGCTGGGATGGAGAGGGGCTTGCCCCTCCCAGTGTCTCCCTCTGCCTTTCCGTTCTTAAACAGGGTTGGATCCCAGAAGGTGTCAGTGCCCGGGCCATGGGAAGGGGTGGGTGTCGGAGGACTCCGGGAGCTTCTGGGCCCCTCCCCGGATGCCCCTCTTTCTCAGGCTGGGCTCTGTCTGGGTAGCCCCGCTCTGCACACTGATGCTGGCTCCTCATCCCATGGCTGGCTTGGGCTTGTGGTGTGGGCTCCCTTGGGGGAAGGAGCATCTGGTTTCTCACCGTTTCCTGTAGGCCAGCCCGGTCCTCCCTACCCTGCTCTCTGCCCACTCTGGGCTATAGGGAGGGTGGGAGAGGAGGGAGAGGGCCCTGGAGGATGGGAGGATCCAGCCGGAGGCTGCCCTGAGGGCTGGGGAACTGTCTGCCAGCCCCCCAGGCCCATGCTCTGCTCCTGGAGCCCTGGCACTGAGGCACAGATTGTCAAGGCCGATGCCCCCTCCACCAGTGCCCTGGAACCCACGTGTGACTCAGCCTCTGTCAGCCGGGTGGGTGCCGTCAGCCCCTGCCTCCCAGGCCAGAACCTGAGAATGGGCCCAGAGTGCTGTGGAGATCAACTTCAAAAGAGCTAACCCCTTCCCACACCTCACTCACCCACATTTCCTCTGTGAAATCTACCTCAGAGTCGTACCCTCAGAAGGATGGGTAAGCAGGAGGCCAGGGGGTCCCCAGGGCTGAGGTGGGGAGCCTCCCATGGCAAGAGCCTGCCACCCACAAATGAATCCACCCCCTACCACTGTGCGCCTCTCCCAGGTCTCAGCCCCGGGAGGGGGCAGTGGCTGCTACCGACAGCGCATGTCCTGCTCTGATCCAGCTCTTCCAGGCCCCACCTTCTGCACCCTTCCCCTCCATAGTGCAGGGGAGTGTCCAGCGGGGAGGGGGCCGAGGACACGTGTCATGTACCCTGCGTGCCCCTGGGGAGGGGAAGTGGGGAAGGGGCCCGGAGAGGTGAGGCACGGTGCCTGTGCTCTCTGAACAAGTTGAAAGTCCAAATAAAACGTATCTGTTCCATCTGCCCTCGGTCTGTGCCCTGCGTGGCTGGGGGTGGCTAGAACCCTTGGCAGCGGGAGGTCTTGGAAACTGTGTCAAGGAACCATGACCATGGGAGGTGGGCACCGGGCATGAAGAGGGGCTCTGAGGACACGGTGTTCACAGAGGACTTGGGAGTGGGGCTGGTTTAGAACACATGTAAAGCAGCCGCCGTACCTGGAGTCCGTGTCAGGATTCCTTGGGTTCCTCCCCACAGCAGGTCTGGCTGATAGAGGTTCTCAATGCTTGTTCATTTGTCAGCTATGTCTTCATCAAGTGATTTTTGCACGCCAGGAGCCAGACTGGGGTCTCACCGTGTTCCGTGTCCTCATGGGTCTAAGACAGGGGAGGGACTGGAGGTCAGAGCTGGGTCATGAACCCACGACTCCTGCTTCACCTGGGGCTGTGCCTTGCGTCTGCAAAAAGGGCTTGAGCTGGCCAGGTGCAGTGGCCAATGCCTGTAATCCCAGAACTTCGGGAGGCTGATGCGGGAGGATTGCTTGAGCCCAGGAGTTCAAGACCAGCCTGGGCAACATAGCGAGACCTCGTCTCTACAAAAAATACAAAGAATTTAGCTGAGTGTGGTGACGTGCCTGTAGACCCATCTATTCTGGAGGCTGAGGTGGAAGGATCGCCCAAGCCCAGGAGGTTGAGGCTGCGGTGAGCCTTGATTGTGCCATTGCACTCCAGCCTGGACGACCGAGTGAGATCCCCAACTGAAAAAAAAGTGTGGAGGGGTGGCTTGAGTTACTTATTTGTTGACTTTGGGTGCCTTTCTTTTCTGGGTGCCCCTTTTTGGCCAAGGGTTCGCTTAACAACAAAAAGGGGGCACCAGGTTCATTGAAGGCCTGAGGTTCAGCTCTGGACTCAGAGAAGACATTCCTTCCCATTCGGTGCCAAGGCCTAGTCCCCTGTGGGAAGACTCCAGCCTCCCCAGCGCCTCTAAAAGTTCATCCAAGCTTGATTTCCACCTGCAGCCAAGTCCTGAATGCCAGGGAAAGTGGGTCCAGCCATCCCTGGTGACATGACTTCACAAGCTCTGGGAAAAAAGGTTCTGGAATCTCTGGCACACAGGTGCCCAGTGCCCCCTGCTATTCCCCACCTCAGTCAACTCCCACGGAGGAATGCCGCCCCTGAGTTTCTGTGCTGGGTGCCCTTTGCATCTCTGGAAGCACTTGGGAGACAGGCATGTATGAGTGATGGGTGGTCTATGAACTCAAGGCGTGGAGAAATCCTGGGGCTTGAGACAGGGGCACAGGGGGCTGGGAAAGGGCTGGCACAGAGGAAGGGGGTGGTGGCCCAGGTAGCCACTTCTGGTCCCAGAGCACGTCTGGAGTGGGAAGGGACCCGGGTATCCCACAACTTGACGTTCCCCTGTCACCAGGGTGAGGGGAGCATGGGGACATAGGGTGCAGATTCTGGCAGCTTGTCTCCTTGATTTCTCGGGACCTAGGAAAGGGCTCAGGTGCTGGGCAGGAAGTTGCTGGGGGCTGGGAGGGAAGGTGGGGAAGGGAGAAGGAGTTGGCGCACCCCAGCCCGGGTCCCTCAGAGCACAGCCTTCCATCTAATGCCCCCCCAAAAGGAGAGGATACGGTGAGGGGAGCTGAGGAGGAGCGGAGGAGCCCTGTCATCACTTATTCCTTCTCTCCCAGTGCGGCTGTGATCAGGCCTAAGGACACTTCTCCCTGAGTCTGTGGCGATGGGGAGGGTGCACGCAGGTATGAGAGTGGGGGCAGAGGGGTCTCATTTCTAGGCTCCTGGAAAGAGGAGGCGGGCAGAGGTGGAGGGAAGACTCCATCCATGCTGGAAAAGACACACCTGGGGAACCCACTCACTCTGCCCAAAGCCAGACCTGGAGAGCTGATGATGTCCCAGAGGCCAGGCCCTCTGTGGGCGTAGCTCCACCTGCTGAATTAGAGGCCACTGTGAGACATCCTCTCCAGCTCTGGCCTCAGGCCCCAGGGCTTCCCTGGCCAGAGCTGCCGGTTACAGAGGCCCCAGTCCTGGGTCCCTGTGAGGCTGTCAGGAGATCAGCTGAGGGGAGCAGCAGCTCCTTTCAGGAGCCTGGGGCGTGCGTTTGTGTGGGGGAGAGGCTGCTCGCTAGCAGAAGGAGGGAGTGTGGGTGAGTCAGCCGTGTTAATGAGAAGCACCTCACCCGGCTGATCAGGACTAATGAAGAGAAAGGGGGGGTTTCACTCGGTGACATTGCGGTCGGGCATGGGGAGCAGGACAGGGCCCCCAGTGCCATCTCTTTCCTCCACGAGGACAAGAGCCGCTTTGGTGACCACAGGAAGAATCGAGGTCAGACAGACGGGGCCAACGTCAAGGCTGGAGGTCCTACCTAGGGAGGGGTGGGGCGAGGCATCTGAGGCAGGGGCCAGGCAATGTGGACAGAGTGTATGGAATCCTCTGGCATCTCCCACTTGGACTCCAGTTGCCCAGGCTGGAATGCAGTGGTAGAATCATGGTTCATCACAGCCTCTACCTCTTGGGCTTAGGTGATCGTCCCACCTCAGCTTCCCAGGTAGCTGGTACTTCAGGCATGAGCCGTGTGCCTGACCCAAATGACTTTTGAGAGCTAACCCACCTCTGCAGAGGGCTGTGAGCCATGTGATTCCGAAGACTCCAGCCTGGGAGAGGGTGCCGGCATGAGCACTTACTGGTTTGTGGCATTCACTGTCCGTGCAGATGCCCTGCGGCTTGATGTTCATGACACAGGGAGGCCTGGCAGGGCTGAGGGCAGGAAGAGGCTGAGCGGACGGGACCTGGGCGTCAACTGGCAGCTTGCCCTTCCTTGGGGCAGAGGCAGGTGCCCATGAGAACCAGCCCCAGCCCGTGACTTTGCCCACCCTGCCAGTTCAGCCAAGGGCAGGGTCATTAGGCACATCTCACAGATGTCTCAGTCGGCGGTGTGAGCGTGGGCATGGCGGAGGCAGAGGAGGGGCCGGGGACAGGATGGGTGTAGGCCAGCACCTCCATCACCTCCTAATTTGCATTACCACTGACAACCTTCTTGACCAAGAAAATGGAGCCAGAAATAACGGGGGAGGGGACTCTGAGATTTTCTTTTTCTTTCTTTCTTTTTTTTAGTTGGAGTCTCACTCTGTCGCCCAGACTGGAGTCAGTGGCCGCTCCCGGCCACCGCAGCCTCGACCTGCTGGGCTCCAGCGATCCTTCCGCCTCAGCCTTCCAAGTAGCTGGAATTATAGGCACGCGCTACCACGCCCGGCTAATTTTTTGATTTGTTGTAGAGATGAGGTCTCGCCAAGTTGCCCAGGCGGGTCTTAAACCCACAGGCCCAGCCAATCCACTCACCTCGGCCTCCCAAAACGCTGGGATTACAGGCTGAGCCACCGAGTCCGGCCTGAGATTTTCTTTCCTTGCCTCCAGCACTTCCACTGTGCTGGGGGCAGGAGGTTAGCCTACAGCTGGTACCTGCCAGGGGAAGTGCCCCCACTGGTGCTTATTCCTACCCAGATGGGGCAGACACCCCATCCCTAACTCTTTCCTTCTTCGGAGCCCGGGCCATCCTTCCCTCCTCCGGGGGCCCCCTTGCGGCTATGAGGACCCCAACTCTACCCAGCTGGGGAGTTGTCTCTGCCTGTGTTCTCCAATCTGTGTCCTGCCTCCCCCATCAGACTGGGCACTTCTCAGGACCAAGGTCGGAACCTCTCCCAACAACCTGGAGGCAGCTCGAGGGACCATCCTACTTGGGATGTGGGCCACATACTGTAACAGAAAGGCTGACGGTTAGATTCTAAAAATGGTGTGAGGCAAATCCCATCCAGCGTGAGACTGGGGCTTCGTGGTGGGGGCAGAGAGAGACCTCTCCCCACCCCCTGCCCTGGGGCGTCCCCCCAGCTCTGTTAGAGGCCTCTGGTCTACCTTGCCTTGGAGGTAGTGTCCAAGCGTCAGGCCTCCCCCCAAGAGAGCTTTGAAGAAAAGGACGAGGAATGTTGACCCCTGCCCTGGTGACTATGGCACAGACTCTCACAGATACATTTGGTGCTCAATTTATGTATAAATGTATGGACTCAATGGATTGAGTTTGCTTCTGTCCCAGAGAGGGTAGAGAATAGTGTGACAGTACAGCTTGGAAGCGGGATATGATGGGCCCTGGAGAGGAGGCTCCCTGTCTGGCCCAGGGGTCCTGGGACCTGGCAGGGCGAGATGGTGACAGAGTGGAGGGGCCTGGCAGGGAAACCAGGTCATGAACAACAGAGAAAGAGCTGTGAACACACTGTGGGAAGGAGTGAGTGCGGAGCTGAGAACTCCCCCACTCCTCCCTCCAGAGACGCTATTTTCACGGGAGAGAATATATGTGGTACAGGGGACAGGGTGGGGGAGAAGGCCAGCTTCCACGGGGGTCAGTGGGGCCACTGCCGCCTCCACCGTCCTAGGCGTCTACGGCCCTGGGATGCACCAGCACTCCCCTCCCCACTGGGAAATTCTTTTTTTTTTAGTTGGAGTCTCACTCTGTCGCCCAGGCTGGAGTGCAGTGGCACGCTCACGGCCACCACGGCCTCGACCTATGGGGCTCTGGCGATCCTTCCGCTTCAGCCTTCCAAGTAACTGGAACCATAGGCGCGCACCATCCTGGCCAGGTAATTTTTAAATTTATTGTAGAGACGAGGTCTTGCCATGTTGCTCAGGTTGGTCTGGAACCCCTGGGCTCAGGCAATCCTCTTACCTCTGCCTCCCAAAGGGCTGGGATTCACAGGCGTGAACCACTGTGCCCGGCTGAAAAGTCTTCTTGTTTCCTGGAGTGTGAAGGTGGAAAGAACGAGAGCCAGGAGACTTGGAGCCAGGCTCTTGGCATCCCTTTAAGGGTTCCTGGGGCCTCGGGCCTAGGGAGAAGTTTCTATTTCCTTCACTTCCTTGGAATGAACATGCAGATGGTGCTCCATGGGGTGGGCTCTGAGCACACTTGGCAGGGTTGGGCACTCCTTGTCCCAACTCCACACTTGGGCACTCTGTAGGGAGTGTC